TATATAAACAGCTTATGACATTTTTGCTATTGTATCTTTCTTTTTTGATATTTTTTGTACTTTATATTTTAATGTAATGCCAAATAAAACGAAACTAAACGAAACAAAATAGTATAGGGAACGAATACCATGTATAGACTTCAGAAACACTTTAGGTCGAAATATTGGTTGATTATATATAATATATATTTTGCTGTTGCTGTGTAATGATTTTTTCAACAACTTTTGACAAAACACAGAATTTGCATGATAAAGAATGACCAGTCGCACTGCTGCAACACCGGCGCTCCTCACGCAAATATCCCCATGTGTGTACGTGTTTCATGTGCCGCGCTCACCCAATTTCATTACAGTTAACCTTCGTGAACACCACTTAACCAGCTATTTTAAATTATAATAATAATGCAGTACACAGTGCCGTATCCTGCTATTGGGACAGTTGTGATAGTCCCACACAATTTTTCAATTGTGTCCACAAAGGATGGGTCCACTTTTAAATGGGTCCAGATTTCTCATATTTTGTGTAAAATGGGTCAACTTTTAAGAAAATAGGTCCAGATATCTGATATTTTATGTTAAATTGGTCAATTTTTGAAAAAATGCGTCCAGATTATTCATATTTTTGCGTGAAATGGGGAATTTTTAGGAAATTTGGTCCACATTATTTAAGTTTACACGTAAGTAGCTCCACACTGATAATGTCCCACACTCTTCGGAAATCCTGGCTAAAACATTGGACAGTAGTGGGATGATTAACCAAAGAGCCTCTATGCCTCTAATGTTTGGTGATTGAGCTCTTTGAGATACAGTATTTTGATAGTGAGAAAAAAATAATGATGTAGCCCTATAAAACAATGCCTTACTAAAGCATGGTTGGCAGGTGGCCGATGTATAATGTTTATATATAGGCCTATTAATTGGTCGTTCACAATTAACATTTTCACAAGTGTACAAACAGTACTCTTTTTCGGTACCCCATCCCTCCCCTCTGAAATTGCACACAAAAATATTGATTTTTCAAAAACCATTCTCCATTTGATTGTGAAGTCAACTAATGTACAATTGGTTGCTTAAAAATGAATGGCTACATTATAATTTTACCATTATTTTACATATTGCATGTTATTTTGAATCAACATTTTTATGCATATGTAAAGTGTACAAACTACATCTTTCCCCCTAGCGTACTGTTTGCACACTTCTGAAAATATCGATAATGTTGAACGACCCCTAATATAAGCTAGTAGAGAGATAATATTTAGCTCTCATTTATTAAACTACGCTTACTCACTTCATAGCAACTTGTACCGTACCGTAGTATCTCTCTGTGTTTCACCGCACGTTCTCGTTCTCGGCTTTAGTCGGGAGCGATCCGCGTACTGCTTTTGTAGCACTGATCTAACAGCCACACTGAACGAAAACGGGATTTACATATGTTTACTCTTTAACAAGATGCCCAATTTATTATAATGTTTAATATCCGGTTTAATATCTACTTAAAGTAGAAATGACTACGGATAAGTTGACGGTTGTATGGCCAAAATAATATTTGCAATTTCACACGAGTAGGCTAAATTAAGCCTACTCAGCAGATTAATACAGGCTAATTATTTGTTGTTTGTTAAGACAGCTTGCCGTATTCTCTCACAGAAAACCCTCATTAACTGATGACACGGTTGATACCTTTACTAATAGTGTTTCACATTTTTTATTTTATATTTTATTGCTTGTCATTTTTATACATTATAATATCATTTTCATACATTAATTACCATTATCATTATGTCTATTATAGGCCTAATTATTATTATGGTGGTTGTAGTTTTGTTTTCATGTTGATAAAGAAATGTATTAGTGCCGGATCCAAGAATTCAAAATAGAAGGGGACCGGGAGGTACTTTAACCGGGAGGATCGATTCTATACCACCTCAGTCCCACCATGGTTGAAGTTGACGTAAAAACATCATGTAATTTTGACACTTCTAGATATCCGAAAATTGCACTTTCAGATATAATTTTCTTTATATCTCCATTTAAGAACATTTTTTGAGCAGTTTAGAGGGGGCTCGCGCCGTCTGCCTCCCCTCCCCCTCCTTGATTCTAGTATTTATATTTATATCAAATCAATACCGGGGAATTCGGTCTTCCGGAGTTTCGCCGAACGCTTCATCAGATAGTACGTTTCTGCTCTGATAGTACTGAGTCCTTGTTAGGTCGTAAGTAACGATTCGTTTAAAAAAACTCGTCGTATATCCTACAAAGACATGATGAAGTTTCCGCCCCTATTGATAGGCCTAGGCCTACTTATATCAAATCTCTTATTATAACAGATCGTTAACTTTTGCTAGAAACGACGGTCACCCCCACTCGCTCTATATTTTCAAAATTATTTAAAAAATTCAGAAAACAAAACGAAAAATTATATTCATATATTTAAGTTTTTTAGAGTGCCATTTCAGGCTAGAAGTGAAATAATCATAAATTACTAATGGTCTGGACCCTCCATGTAAAGTGATTATATATGTGCTCCCTCTATTTCAAATTCCTCGCCCACTGATCTCTACTATTACACTGTAGTAGAGCTCAGTGGATCCGCCACTGGGAGAGGCTATAGACTACCATTGTCACTGGGTTCAGAGCAGACAATTGTAAAATAATAAGCAGCCTATGTTTCCGTGTCGAAAGCTGACATGAATAACTATACAAATTGTTTGATATTTTGTCGTCGCCTTCATCTTCGACTATCATTGTATTAGCATCCGCTACCGGTACATCATCATTACAAGCTGACATGAATAACTATACAAATTTTTTGATATTATTTGTCGTCGCCTTCATCTTCGACTATCATTGTATTAGCATCCGCTACCGGTACATCATCATTACCGATATTATTAATAGCAAACGAGTCGGGAAAATCCCCATTATCTAACACTTATTACGTGCTCTGAGCATGAAAGAGCCCCTCTGGAAATATCTGTCTCATTACATCAATCATTTTACTTCAAAGCTCTGTCCAGATTATCAATTTTCTTCGACAAACTACTGCATGCCCATTATATTGTCATGATATGCCTATAAATATGGTCATGATGTGATGTCCATGGATATTTAGGCATGTCACTTTTTTTTTGTCACAAAATTTGATAGTTTGGTTAGCGCATTGGGTGCAATATTTCAATGAGTGTAAAATTAATCCGTATTTCGAACTGGATTTTGGAAAAGATATTGTTTATTAGCACTGTACTTTGAAAAAGTTATCATCGACGCTAAACACGAATTTTGTAAAAAGAATGCTTGCAAATGTACGGTATAAGAACAAATTGTACCATAACGATTACATACGTAGGCCCTAAACCTATCTTTATTTTAAAGGGTGAAAAAATGTTGATTTAACTCATTTGTAGGCCTGATTATTCCAATAGTAACCCCTGGCCAATAAGGTTAGAATAAGAATTATTATAGAACAACTTTTTGAGGTGGGTTAATGCATATTTTTAAGCACAGGTTTACTAATCAGTAAGCCTACATGGTTTCATGACAGGTTTTACAGTACCTATTTTTCATATAAATATGAGAACAGTGTGCTTGAAAGCTAAAGTTGTTTCTGACCTCTGTACTAAACAGTCGTATGTATATTGATGGCAGCATAAATAAATGAACGATTCATAATATGATGTCGTCTGCTACTCCTGTCTAAGGTATGAAATGTCCCTGTGTAACTATCTGGGATAAAACACCGGTTACCTAACAATATTTGTTGTGTGAGAATCGATGACAAAATAAACCAAAACCTGGTTTATGTTTTAGCCACAGAGTATTTAGACCTACTTGCAATCCAGCCCCAGTCCCCAAAGCCCTTTAATCCGGCCCTGAGGATGAGGAGATGGATGTGTACACTTGACCTTTAAAAGGGAACTAGCAAACTGATTTTTAGTTCTAGAGGGGAATTTTGATATGCCATTAATAATATAATCAACCTTAAAATCACTTTTTGGCAATTTCTTTTGGAGTTATAGGCCATTGAATACAATTTAATCCTGACGTCACTGGCGAAAAAGGTAACAAAAGATCGTGTAAATAAAACCGCGTAGGGTATCCGCCGCGTACGATCTTTGTGTGCATGCTGTAACCATAGCTATAATTCTTCTGTTGACAACCGTTGATGCAGTTATAGGCCTATGACTTGATATACAAGTTACAACAACCATGGTTACAGCATGCACGCAAAGATCGCACGCGGCTGATACCCTACGCAGCGCTATTTACACGATCTTTTGTTACTTTTTTCGCCAGTGACGTCACGGTAAAATCGTATATAATGGCCTATAACTTAATAACCAATTATCAAAAAACGATTTTAAGGTTGGTTCTATTATTAATGGCATATCAAAAATCTCATGTAGGACAAAAAATCATTTTGCTAGTTCTCTTTTAAGTCCTTCGAGAATAATGTTCTACAAATTAACCTACTCTCGCACGAGAGCAGCTCAGCTCAATCGGCTAAACTGGTAGTAGCTATTGAGATCTCTAGGTCCCCGGTTCTATTACCATCGCTGCTCCTTCTGTTTCAGCTGGAGGGCTGAAATGCAAGTTAAGATAGCGCACCGTCTTTCGGATGACATATTCAAGCCGTTGGTCCCGTGTACACGTTAACAAACGCAGTACACTATTTGGAAAAAGAGTAGGGGATTGTTTCCCGGTGAACGGCCGAATCACCGGCAGAAGGACCCCACTGGAAGTAAGTCTTTTGTGGGTTATCCTTTGTGGTTTACACCGAATAAATCCATCCAAGCTCCACATTGATTATTTAAAATATATAACAGAACTTTAACAGCTGTGAAGTGTTTGTGGCGCAAATTCGGGAGCGGTGCTTATTTTGAGAGTATTTTATTAAATCATTTACACACACCAACAATATAAAATCACTACCTGTGGATTGTGTTGTTTTATGAAATACATTTTATTATTTTCGAGAAAGAAGATGCTAAGTGAGAAGACATAATATATATAGTGAGAGACCAAAACCACACAGTGATTTGTGTCGTTAACATAACGAGTATTAAATCATCCTCACGCTATAATACAGAGATGTGTATAAGAGAAAGAAATCGAGTATGGGACGCCAATTAAATTAGGTATGGCGCGCACTAAGTGCAATAAAGAGTGAGTAACCTAAAATTAGGGCCTGGAACCCAGGCTACTCAGTCGGCTAAACTGGTAGTAGCTATTGAGATCTCTAGTTCCCCGGTTCTATTACCATCGCTGCTCCTTCTGTTTCAGCTGGAGGGCTGAAATGCAAGTTAAGATAGCGCACCGTCTTTCGGATGACATGTTCAAGCTGATGGTCCCGTGTACACGTTAAAAAACGCAGTACACTATTTGGAAAAAGAGTAGGGCATTGTTTCCCGCGGTCAACGGCCGAATCACCGGCAGAAGGACCCAACTGGAAGTAAGTCTTTTGTGAGTTATCCTTGGTGGTTTACGCCGAATAAATCCATCCAAGCTCCACAATGATTATTTAAAATATAACAGAACTCTAACAGCTGTGAATTGTTTGTGGCGCAAATTCGGGAGCGGTGCTTATTTCGAGAGTATTTTATTAAATCATTTACACAACCCAACAATATAAAATCACTACTTGTGGATTATGTTGTTTCATGAAATACATTTTATTATTTTCGAGAAAGAAGATGCTAAGTGAGAAGACATAATATATATAGTGAGAGACCAAAACCACACAGTGATTTGTGTCGTTAACATAACGAGTATTAAATCATCCTCACGCTATAATACAGTAATACAAAATCACTACTTGTGGCTTGTGTTGTTTTCATGGAATAAACTGTATTATTTTCGAGAAAGAAGATACTTAGAGAGAAGACATATTAATATATTTGATATAACCACATGCTTAGTGAGAGACCAAAAGCACACAGTGGTTGTGTCGTTAACATAAATCTGTGGTGGGTTCATAAAGCAGCACATTGACAATCCAAAACCCATAGAGGGCGTCTTTCATTCGACACAAAATAGACAACACATGCAGTATGCGTTTTGTATTGATGAAAAAAAATTATAGCAACGAAACAGTCAACAATAAATCATCCACAAAAGATGAAATTAAATTAATAAACAATTAATATAAAATAGATTAAAATATATTTTCCATCAAAACAATGACCTCATGGAAGAACAAGTCCTCAGTTAATAATTTTCAATGAAATAAAAATATTATGAAGCTTAAAATTATATAATTATTTTTATTATTACTAAAATATCTCAGATAAATTTCATTTACAACTAACCAAAATAATGGTTATTTTCACTGATATAATATTTTCCTAATTAAATAGAAAAAGTCCCTTTAATCCTGTTTTCTACTAAGCGAACATATTTGGGTGAAGCGATAATATTTAATCGCTTAGTAGAAAACATAACTTCCATTATAGCATAGCCAATACATACTGTATTCTATTAAACTTACAATTGAGCACTATGACTACCACAGTAATACACATCACATATTTCAGAGCAAATTAATATTCATAAATTAAAAGCATCGAAATTTTAAAACAATTGATTATATAGTTAAAAAATACATGTAATTATCGTCCTGGGATACAATATTTTTACCTTTCACTGGGTAATCATCGGTGCTTGGAGTATGCTTTTTACTTTTGTGAATCTATAAGAATCATACAAAACCAAATCTATTAATACACATTTAATTATTCTAAATAAAACACATTACTGTTGATGTGATTTCTTTGCATTTTCATTTGCTGGCATAATGAGTCAAAATGCACTATTTTCCCAATACTGTGATCAAAAATACTATCCTTATTTAAACGACCATTGCTGGATCCTAATCTATTACATAACTACTGTGACTGCCACACTTTCATTAATAAATCCAGTCATTATTTTTAGTTGTTCCAAACACCATAGCTGCACCGAAAAAAATTTAAATCCTCAAGAGAAGATGCATTAGGCGAAAAGTACAATGACAATGGACTTTTCTGGAATGTCAACCAAACTTTTAATAACAAATAACCAATCAAAACAGGGCATCAATCAATGGTTAAGATACCAAATTTAATTATACTGACATTTACAGTGGAGGATCTGAAGTTGCTAGGCAGAGTTAACAGATCTTAAGATGGGGGCCTGGAGAATGCACTTTTTCCCCATGCTCCTTACAAGACATCTTGACTACAGGAATGTTACTTAGTTTCTAATACTTGGTTAGAGGAGCATTTTTTTTTTAAGGGTAGGGGAGGGGTGGGGCTAGCCACCCTAATAACCGCTCTAGATACACTCATCTGTCTTTGCCTTTTACATACTACATACATTTTAGTCTCCTTGGTCAAAGAAAATTATGACTAGAAAAAAAACGCACCATAGATATATTTTTCGGGTTGATCAGGCTTCAGCAACATATTAAAGTAACACATGCTTTGGCTTTATTAGAAACAAAAATTATTATATACTGTACTCAATTTCTTATGTCTATTTTTGCCTTATTAAGGATTGAACACCGGGTTAGCACCACCAAGCTACAAATCTACTTCATCGAGTCTGGTATTGATGAATGTTGAAGGTGTGTAATATATACCAGTTAATACCAACTTAACGTGAGGATGTTCACTGTAGTGTTAGAAATATCTCTGTGAAATTACCATGTTGAGAAAGGCAGTGGGGAAGTGGACTTGATTTTATTTTTTTTTTAAATCATTGTGTTCCAAAGGGTTAAACCCAGGGTTATGGTATTGGTGGGTGAGGACCACCAAGGTACAGCTCTACTCCATCAGGTATTAACGATCAGTGAAGGTGTTTAATATAACAAATTAATGCCAACTTTTCAATTTAATTTGTTGACAATGGTAAGTGTACTTACCACTTCAAGTCCTTCATAAAATTATATTAACTGACTCTGTATGCATACTAACTGGCTGTCCTATAGGTGAACATACTGACCAGGGATTATTGCAGAATTCCTTGGAGGGGGTCCAGAGGGAAAATCCCACAAAAGATATGAGAGAGTCTAACAATTGTATAAAGTCGATAGATTTTTTTTCCTCACCGGCATGGGGGTTTAGGGGGAAGCTCTCCCCAATAGCGGGCCCTGTACACCACTGGTGCCACCTTTGAGGGTTTTGATTGTGAGGTTGTTAAAACAATGTTAATAACGGGTATACTAAATGTTGTGGCAATCCATATAAGAATAATAAATTCTTATAACACAATTATAACAAGGTTAATTGCTGTTTATGCTAGACTATGAGGCAAGTATGGGAATTACTTTAAAATCACTAAAAATTGCACATGTAACTTTCTGACAAACAAATATTGTTGACGCTATAAAGCTGGCCACTCACTGCACCTGATGCAATTCTAAAGACAACGCAATGCTACGATGCTCGCGCAACAGATCGGTATTAACACGTTCACTGCCAGACCTTTTTTGTAAGGTTCCTTCCCGTGTGCCAAAACAAGTTTACATGCACAAACATACTTTTTGGAAATTTTATCTAGTCATATGTCATCAAAATGATGTGTCTAATAAATTGGCGGGAAAATATTAGGGGACGAGTGAACTCGTAGGCGGCACTGTGATAGCACTTTTTATTGACCATGCCAAGTGTGAGTTATCTTGTCCGCTTTTTGCACGGGTTGGTATATATGTTCAAAGGGCGCCCCCACTTGTGCCGCTCAAGTGTACTACCGGCAACATAACACAACAAACATACATACTTCATTTGTACGTTATCTTCTAGGTGTATTTACCCCAAACTACCAGCCGCTGATTCTGTGGTTCTACAATTTATTACAAAGAAGTTACACATGCTAGAATGTTACCTCGATTTTGACGAGTACACTTGTCCCTGGTGCCCTCAGCAACACCTGTCGGTGGGTATACTTGTCGCGGGCAGCCAACGCGTTAAAGATGATCCGTTTAAGCTGCCACTAACTATCAGCAGACGGCACCGCATTGTTACAGGCAGCGGAGTTGGATTCATTATTCATTGACCGACGGTCGTACAACCGACCTACAATGCAGTGAGTGTCCAGCTTACGTGATACTTATATTACCTGACTCTAGTATTAATTTGCTTTCTTTATTGTTTGCTTTGTGACTTAAATTTATTCTATATTAAAATACTCTATATTATGGAAGGTCATCATCACTGTACTCATCTACTTGGATGCTATCTCTATGGTTCACTACTTCATCCTGTTCTTCTTCACCATCATTCTCATCACTGCCGTACGAGGCGGCGGATGATGCACGGGTCGGACTACTGGGTGGGGATATGGCTCGTTGGATGATCGTCCTTCCATCTATGAGAGCTCGATTCTGTGAGAAGAAAATTGCTTGATCAGATTCACATACAGTGTTCAAATTCAAATTATTCATCAACATGAAACATGTAGAAATGATTAGAGCAGTAATTCAAGGGAATAAAACACTTTGAAATAATTAATTAGAAAAAAATAAATTGTGTCGCTGAAGTATAAATGACCAAAATCTTATATTTTATTTATTTTATTATATATTTCATTAATTTATTTTATTTATATATTTTATTTATTTACAATTTATTTGTATATTCTATTTATATATATTATTTATATTTTATTTATTTATTTAGGCACAGAACACATGCACAAAGGATTGTCTATAGCGAATATATCACACACTGTCCTACTTGTAGGTGAAAATCCCTTTCACAAGACCAACATACACACACACATGATGATTTACACAAACTAAATCTTAGGGAATAGAGTTGTTTTAGTCCTGAGAAAAAGTCTTGCAACACTGACTGGAATTGAACCCTGGGATCAGCTATTCGACTCCATTATAATAAATCTATGGTCAAATGTTTTTTTTTTTCTAGTCATATTTTTTTTATAAACAATTATACAGAATGAAAGTCATTACTTACTAGTGCGCCCTCACTCCCAAACAGATCAAGGAAGCTACCGATGATCTCCCTTGATCGCTCATCCCACCTGTTGATAATCTCAAATGATTTGTCTCGTCCTTTGTTCATCAAATCTTTTGACATCGTTTTCACATCTTTCATCTTTTTCTTCGTTTGGTCGAATTTTTCTTGCATGTTGATTTTGGTTTTCTGAGAAAACAAAAGTAGGGTATTTGAATACATTGAGAAATCATCATCATTGAGAAATCATTATCATTGACATTATTATTATTATTATTATTATTACAGTATTATTATTATTATTATTATTATTATTATTCTAATCAATATTATTACTATTATAATTAAATATATTTGTATTATTGTTTTGTGTCTAAAATAAAAAGAATATTAAATTGTTGCAATTGGCACCATACTTTTAATAATAATGTTCATTTTTTTTGTTTTCCTAATTAAGAAATTTTGTGTTGATAATCTAATACTGTACTTTCACTGGTTTACACAAAGCAGAACTATATTTTCTCAGTATCTATACATATTCAGTCCCACATAATTAATTTTCGCAGGTGGGATGCAGTGGTGGAATCTGGGGAGGGGAGGGTGAAGCTGGCCCACCCCCCACCTAAATTTTTCAAAAAAGGAGAAAATAAGACAATTATTTCACATTCAAGTTTAAGAGTTCTATTTCCTGCAACCTAGAGTTTGGTAGTTTAGACCCTCCACTGTGAAAGTCCCTCTCTGGTCTCACACTACTGTAATTCTTTTTTTTGGATCCACCATTGGGATGAAAGGATTTGACATAATATTTTATATTAATATCACATAATATAATAATAACAACAATAATAATAATAATAATAAAAATAAATACAATTTATATAGTGCTTAGAAAGTACTCAAAGTTTATATGTTATATTTGTTGTTATAATAATCGGTATCTTTATTGAGGTCAGGTTCTCACGAGAGTCCTAGTATGCGGATCGGGAGCTAACCGTTAGCACCTGTGTGAGAACGCCTGATCGGTTAGCGTTAACCGGATACTAATGGTTAGCAAGCGCTATCAGTTAGCAAGTTGAGCGCGTTTCTATCATAACCAATCACATGTACGCATTTACAATTTCCAGTTTCCTATTGGTTAGTGATTCAATCATCATACTCTTGGTATCAAGATCAGGATTTGCTCATACTGTATATACGCACAGCGACTAACGGTTAGCAGGACCCGGATCCTGCTAACCGTTAGCTGCCATGTGAGAACGCAACCTATATGTTTTGCATTTAGACAATGTTATAGAGCAGACTCTGATATAATTGTAATTAGTGATCTTCTGCTTCATAAATATAAAGCATGCACATGGTAGAAACATGGAGGTATAAAAATATACCTCCATGATAGAAACAAGGAAGTGAAATTCTGTCATTGTTGAGTGATGTTGTCGTTGAGGCCACAATGATGAACACTCCCTGATAGCCATCTAATCAACATGAATTCAATGACATCAAGTGACCTTTGGACCTCAATTATTTCCTGTGTTATCAAAGACCTGTACTGTGAACAAACATTAATTCATACAAATAATGATAACAATAAATTTTTCTCTTCTGCAAAGTCAAAGACAAGCAATGAACAGACTGGTTTTTTTTTTGGTTTTTTTTTGAAATCCCAAAAATACATCAATTCTTTTAAAATAGGATATAAGAAAACTCTCTTGAACAATGATCAAATTTGCTTTGAACAATCCACACATACATGATTTGTAAAAATAACATTTTTATTGCAAAGAATAGAAACTGCAAACATACGTACTGTGTACACCTTTTTAATTAGCATAGAAAATAATTTATACTTCAATGTTAAAAAACATATTCAGTATTATATAAGTATATAATTTTATTGTCAAGTTTTAGTTCAGGTTGACAGTTAATCTTCAAGGTTATCGTACAGGGAAGAATGTTATCATGCATGCGATACAGGTCATGTGGTTGATTGTTACTTTGGACTTTTTGATTTATGCTGAAAAGCTAACATTGTACATCCATCCAAATTGACAAAGTGGTTGATCCAAGAATTCAAAATAGAGGGAAGTCTGGGGAAGGACTTTCACAGATGGAAGGTTTAGACCACCTTATTCCCAACCACGGTTGAGAATGAGGGATGAACATTTATGGTCATTGCAACTCTAGATGGCTGGAAATTGCACTTTCCAACTTTTACTTTTTCCCCCACATTTTCGTAATTTGCAAGTGGGGGAAGGGGTGACCCTCCCTCCACCTTGAGTTTGCCTATCTCAGTCTTACAAAGGAAATCTATCACCATCTATCAATATATTCAAGGTCAGCATATATGACATCCTTTAATTTTTTCAAGCGTATATAATTGACCAACGTTGTGTTTATTGTTAGGAGTGGCAGAACGAGGACGGTGAATGCGCACATGGACTGTTACAACAAGTACTTGTTCTACAATGCTGGGATATGAGATTACAATGTAAAGTATTTAAGATAATTTAATATTGTATTGTACTGGCAGTCTTGAGATTATGTTATTTCCTTTTGTTTCAACAATAAAGAAATTTGTATTGTCTTTAATATACTAATACAAGGTTTATGCACTTTATAGGATGATGATGAATAACAGCATATGTGGTCTTTATAATTGGCACTGTTTAAAAAATAAAAGTGAATAAAATAGAGAACAGACAATATACACACCATGTATGATGTTGCATAAAATAAATTCTTCTCAAATGAAAAATTCAAAATCATGAAAAAAGAAATTATACATATTCTGATATTATATTTTTAGATCTACTTACATTAAAGAAACTGACATTCAATTCTTTGGCAGTGTACCCTCTGGCAAGATTTCTTCTCACAAACTGGTCATAATTCTTTACTAGTCGTGCTATTATATCCGATGTCGACACCCCCTCCGTTCGCTGGGTTGCTACAAACTTGCCAGCTGCTTTGATATCTTTGTAGACATCATCGATTCCCCCCTTTGCTCCATAAGGTATATCATCATGGGCTACAAAGTCAATCTGTGGAATACAAGGTCAAGGTGATTCACTCTTAGGACTTAAGTAATTCAATTCAGGTGTTATTGTCCAAAAAGAAAATATACAGTGGAAACAATCATTGCATTGGACAAAACAATTATAACAAACATATATAAAAAGGTATAAAATTATATAGGTTATGTTACATTGCATGAAGGGCTATATTTAAAGTAGTAAACTACTGAACTTCATGGACAATGAATGACATTGATTTAAGTTTTTACTGTGGAGAAAAAATCTGACTAATATAATCAAGTACTTACCTTGTGGAGTTCTAGAAAGTCTGGTGTAACTATCCATGGAGCGTCTTCTACAACTTCATCAACATACCGACAGTTCCGCAAACCTTCATAACGTTCCCATTCGTTCATTACAGTTTGTCCTTTCATACAATGTGTTAGTTTATCACTACACACTATGAATAAAAATTAATATATTCTTTTATCGTATATATGATAAATCGTTATTGAATCTTTCTAGTGTAAAAAGTTCTTTTATTTCTTTTATTTTCTATATGAAGAATTGCTTTTTAACTTTTTATCGTTATCGTTGCTATTATAAACAGGCCTTAAACATTTGTTTCTTACACAAAAAACACCATACGATTTCATGTATTACACACTAGGAAGGCAGGGTAAGGAGAATAACAATAAGTTTTTTTTTTTGGTACCTCCAACTATAAGGTAGACTTCAGGTGGAAAGATATTCTTGGCTTGCTCTAGCATTCTGGCATGTCCTGCATGGAAGAGGTCAAAAATCCCATCGGCATATACTCGTACAGGTCTTGGTCCTGGAAAAAATCAAATAAAGAGGGATCTGAAATCCACAATGCACTATATATAAATGTGGTATTATCTTTGTTGTCTTTGTCATGTTTGTTTTCATTCATGTTAATAAGATAAAAAATGAAATTGTCGTCATCTCCTTCCCAATAACATTGCGTTGCCCATTATATATTTTTTTATTTATCATATATTTGTTGTATGATAGTTAAAGCCCATTGTTCACTATGGTAGAAACAATCCAATATGTCAGTTGAGATTATATAAAATAAGTCTATTGTGAGACCAACTCTTGAATGTTGCAATGTTATTTATAACCCAATCTTCAAGAGAGAGGAAGATTTCTTAGAGAAACTGAAAGTACAGCAATGTGGTACTACTGTAAAATGTTTTTGGAGGTCAGGGATCTTCCGTATGAAGACAGACTTACGAGTTATGAATCTCCTAAGATAGCGTTCTGTAGACAGAGAACTGATATGTTACAGACTTTTTAAGATTGTGCGTGTAATTGAAAGGGTTTCTGCTGATTTATTTTTTGAGTTTGATAAAGGCATTATAATTAGGTCACTCATTTATGATCAAACATCAGTACTGTAGAACGCAACTGAGAAGTTGTGCCTATTCATTTAGGTTAGTGCAGCTGTGGAATTCTTTGTCGAATTACAATGTATAAATTCTAACTCAATTAACATGCTTAAGTCTGCAATTGAAGAGAATTTGGCTGACCACTTGCTTAAATTTGCACCCTATGTTAAATTTAAAATATTTTAGCCTGCTTTTTCTAGAGGCTCATAAGTATCGTTTTGCTTAGCGTCTATATACAGGAGGATCAGACGAATCAAAGACAAGTAAACAAGAAAAAAATTATCATTGTTAAAAAAATACAAAAATCTACAATATTTGGGGTCTACAGTACCTAATAGTAGAAAAACATATTTTTGTCAAAAAAAAAAAAAAAAAAAAAGTTGACCCTAGATATTGTTTTTACTCTTGCTTGGTCAGTCCTGCTTTGGTTAAAAAAACACCACATTTTCTAAGCATTATCCCACAAATGTGATATTCCTCATGATTAATATTTCTTACCATGATTTCCTGACCTAGCACTTTCAAGATCGATAGGGTAGAAATCCCATCTTGCTTTCTCTGCTTCTGATTCTGCTGACCCTGCAGTGATGGCCGGTCTACAGCAACTCTATATCAAGCCAAACATAAAGATATTACATAAAAAAATACACATACATATAGAGTGGAACTACAGCTTGGTGAATAAAATGCTTGTTTCCAATGCTATAGCTAAATCCTACTCAGTTATTTTGTCACAAAAAATAAACAATTTGACAATTTTTTATGCCATCACCAACCAGTGGCACATCTAAAGGTTGGGGGAGGGGGGTTAAAAAGCTCACACCCCAAGCTTTCTACTGAAAATTACATCATATCACGTTATTTTTCGAACTAGCGTCCCCTCACTTATTCATCGAGGCGCCCACTCCACCTTTCCTCCCATCAGCCCCCATTTCCAAGACTCCTGTATACGCCAATTCTGTCACCACTTACAAAATTAAATAACTACTATAAAATCAGTTCATGAATCAATCAAACTATCTATAATCAATCAATGTTTTACATACACTTCTATGCGGAACTTTTGCTGGTCTTGGTACCTCATTTTCCTCCACTGTTTTTCGTTTCCTTCTGGTTGCCATAGCTGACGAACTCATTTAGCCTTCTGAAAAAAGAACAAATTAGTCCATCATCCTACTACAGGTCTCCCTCCAATTAAAGACCATTTTAGCCCTTTGATCTCTAATTAGAATAATAAAGATAAAAGTCACTTGTGAAATTGGAACCACAAAAAAGTGGTCTTCAATTGGAGGATGACCTGTACTGAATTCATTTTTGTTAAACATTTCTGTGGCCTTGCAGTACAGTATATTGGAGGTCCAGAGTGTGATTGACCTTGAGGTCAGAGGTATTTAATCCCTTGCTCCCTGTGCATTTTGTTTGTTCTTGGAAAAAGCACTTTAGGCCTACAGTACCCATAGGTTCGAACACTTGCACTGATTACTAGCTTCTACAATGGAAATCTGCTTAGGGAGCCGAGTATGTGTTTGATTATGCGCTTGATAATGACCAGGGTATTAATGTGAAATAGGCCTTGTTGGCATGAAGCTTTAATTATGTCTATATTTTTTATCATATTTCCTTGTTCCAGCTTTATATAGGAATACAAATTTCCACTTTGTTTCAGATTCCTGTTTTGTGAGTGAATTCCCACAAGCCAACTTCATGCAAACAGATTAGAGAAATAGTACAAAAGTAATAATACTTGGTATATTAAAAAAAAAACTGCTTGTTTCTCATTTCAATCAACTCAATATGAAATAAATGAAGGAAGACGACACATTTTTGGCGTTATTAGCATTTGGATAGTTGGCTCAAGGAATTAAAGGGCCTAGCCTAGGCCTAACTTAATTTTTTTTTTACTTGTTCTCTAGGCCTGGTCTTGGCCTAATTTAATATTTTTTTTAATATGATTAGGCTACAACTAGGCATAGGCCGCCTTAATCACCTTTTCATATTTTTAACCAGGAATGAAGGTGCTGATATTTAATAAAAAATAGAATTAGAAAACAATAGTAATAACTAATAGGCTGGGCTCTGATTGTCTTTTCTTGTAATTATGCTTTACGTAAATCCCAAGCAATTCCGTTTTTACTGTGATTTGTGGATATTTTGAAATAAATAAATAAATAAATAGGCCTAGGCTGTAGGCCTATAGAATAGGTAGGACTAGCTAAGTAAGAAGGAAGATGTAAAACATACAAATTGTTTAGGCCATACATACGCTACGTCATCTCCCTGAAGAGAGCAATTCTACAAATTGAGAACGAGAGAAAAGGGAAAAATAACGACCAAGTATTATCGCATTATATTATTAATGCCACGTAGGCTAGGCCCATTTAACTACCTAGGCCAAGGAGGAATACCCCAAGGAGCAAGACTTACTTATCAGCCCTAGGGCCTAGTGTAGTATATTACCGCACAGCATCTTCTGCTGATCGATGACGTGTGTCCTGGAATGAGCAAGAGCCTAGGCCTAGCCAAGCCAGCTTTTCGGATGATCAGAACACATTTCACTTCAGTCGTAAGTCAAAAATATCCAATATGGTAGTATTAGTATTACCATGGTATTACTTAAGCCTAGTAGTACCATAATAATTCATAAACATAAAAGCTTACCTCCTATATCAACCCAGCCTAGCGGTAGATAGGCCCAGAGTGACGATTAACTTCCATCCATCAGGTGATAAAACGCCTCTATCCAATCCAATCCAATCCAAGGCCATGTGGATGGTGAATGATCTCGTCCACTCAGGCTCTTAATTCCGATCGACGACAAAACGCCCTCTATAAGCTGTGGTGGATAAACTTCGTACGTGAGTGGATTTCCCGCATGATTAAAAATCGTAACGGTACTGCTTGGTCTGCAGGAGTTCTTGCTTCGATTCCATTCAAAAGCCTTTTGATGGAGAAAGTGTACTTTTTAGCAAGGTTTGCCTAGGTTCAAACTAACTCCGGCTATACAAAGTTTAGAAGATTTAAAATGTTTTACATTGTTAGGAGGATTGTTACTATGGATGTCCACTTTTATTGATCTTATACACGTAAAATTAATTAAAATTGTTTAGATATTGAAAAATGTATTATATGAAATAATGTAATCGTAAAGTTTATGATAATATTTGATAATATTTAAATAAAGCAAAAATATTGAAATATGTTAAATATACAGACACGATGTATACACAGGCCCAGTTCTAGAGTACAGTTAATATATGTAATTATGTATCGTAGGCTAATGATATATTTATATACATTTATATACGTATTATGCGTAAATGTATTTAGTAAAATAAATTAAAGTTAAACGAAAATATGGAAGAAGCATAAGAAGAAAGAAGAATGGGAAAGAAATTTGTAGCGGCTGAAATATTTACCGAAAATAAACAATAATAATAATAATCTTTTTTTCATTATATTGCATAACGTTTTTGTGAAAACTTGTTGGCACTAATCGTCAGAGGTCAAGGTGCCGGCAGCCTACGTCTTTCATATATTTGACATTGAACACAATGTCGAATATATGAATGGAATGACCTTTCGAAGTTAGACCAAGCCCCAGTCCCCACTATTTTTAATCGTGCGGGAAATCCACTCACATATATGTCTTTGATGTTTTCTCTATAAAAGAGGGCTGAAGAATGAGATAAAATTACCTGATCTTTTTCAAGAGGAGAAAAACCTTGAATTTTGAAGAACTTAAAGGTCATTAAAAAGACTCGGGAAAGCTTATTCCGGCCATCTAGGAATCAAAATTTTCCCGGGGGAGGTCCCCATTAATTTGTTTGACTGAAGAGAAGACAACGTTATATTTACATAGGCCTACCAGACTGAGGAAGGGCTGAAGAACATAGTCATAGTCAAAGCAAACACATCACTACCTATGTTCTCATTTAATAAGAATTACATATATCGAATACTGGGCCTGATGCAGGATTTGGCGGTAGGGGGGTGCGTGCAAATAGGCCTACCTGTAGATGGTCAAAAATGACACTTTTGTATAGTAAAATTCATCATCACATCACCATTATATGGTCAAAAGCAGGGAACAGTACTGTTTCCTGCTTGATGTACATCACAAATGGCTATGTGTGATATACATTACCATAGAAAATAAAACTTAACATTGTCTTTTGATGTATTTACTTTACTTAGGCCTACTTCAAAACTGTGAGTCCATACATCTCTCAGCTCCACCACATTTGGGGCTGAGGTGGTAAAATTTGGAGAAATCCTACGTGGAGATTGCTGGATGACACTCTTATAATATAGTATATTCATCATCATCGATCGAATTCTTAATCGCTGTGATGTACCCTAGAAAATACTACTTCATGTGCCGAAACCCAATCTTATATCTTTGCATGCTTTTCTCATACTTCTCAAATTATAATGAAGGCACGCGCACTCGAGTCGAGTATTATAGGTAATTCAGATGTCTGCGGGCAGAGATACAGGTACCTTGCTATAAAAGAAGATGTCATCTGGCTGTACAGCGCTCTTTCGTTAAAACCTGGGTCATATATGCATTTATGTCAACAATTTTCAAATATCTTCTTGACTCACGAAAAGTGACTTGAGGGGATCAACCCTTCCCCCTTAATAAATATGTGAGGGGACGTTTACAGGGGTGGCACCAG